ATATTGAAGATCCGTGATAATGAAAGTTAAATCGATACCTAAATATAACAACGGACTCATCGAACGTGTCCCGACCCGATTGTAATTATTGCGAATTCATCGAAATATACACAGTTTTTATTAAATATAAACAGTTTCGCTGACGAGCGACTAATCGGCTTACTACGTTTGTAGAACGGTAAAATTTGCTCATTCATAATATTTATAGACATTTATTTCGAGACTAAATTCTTGGAAATATGAATATTGAGGTTGATATTTAATACAGCTAAGAAAATAAATGAAACATTTACTTTATTTAGTGAAGTACACAGTGACGGAAGATCTGTCAGGAGTCTCATGAAAGTAGGCGTTAGAACGCGATGGAATTACTGTCGAGTATGCTAGACCGAATATCATATATATTTTATTAGTCATATTAAAGAACGAGGACTAACTTTAGTATCAGGTTTACTATTATCTGATCAAATTAAGTCAACAAGTCTCAAATTGAGTTTTGATACATTGTAAATTTGCTACAACAAAATTTCACTTTTATAATTGATGTCTAAAGAAACTTAACCCGTAAGTGAAGTTCTATCACAATTAGCAGCACAATTGCAAGTAGCAGCGTGTCGGGTGCTATGTGCCGTGAAAATCGCAGTATCTAAGCCGCTGGTTTACGTGGTACCTACATTTGACTTTGACCAATGACTTTGTGTTTTATTAATATTCGATGCTAAAGTAGTAGCCGGACAAACTTGTGGTTTTTCTATGAAGAAAAGTATTTTGCAGTAAGGTTGATTATGGCTTGGAAGTTTTTATAAGATCGGGTATTTAGATGATCATATTATTCGGAAGTAAAGGGCTATTTTTAAGATTAATTTTGGACGAGGTTTGCACCCCATGTGCAGTAACTAAAGCCAGTAAATAGTTTTCTGGAGTCTTTGTGAGTCGATTTGAAAAAATATGCATCTTTGAAATCGTTAATGAACACTTTTGGGTAATCAATTTTATCATCATCAGCCCTTTTACGTCCCTACTGCAGGGGCTCAGGCCTTCCTTATGGATGGTTAAGGAGTATGGGCCATGACCCTCCACGCTGGCCCAATGGGGATTGGAGGGTATTAACGACTGCAAATGCAGCCCGGACCAACGGCTTAACGTGCCTTCCGAGGCACGGATAGCTCGAGATAATAATTTTTTGGTCACTCATCCCGTGACTGACCCTTGCGAAAGTTGCTTAACGACAACGACCGTGGGCCGCGGCGCTTATCCACTACGCCACTAAGCTACCAATGCAATTTTATCGCCGTTCGTAAATCTTCCAATTTAAAATGACACGTATCAATGAATTTATTTAATGATTTTAGATTTAATATTAATCTCGCAGTACTGCCCGGTTTAGGTCTCAAGAGAATATTTGATATAAATTGCCCATTGCATGGGTCGCTTTCAGATATAGCACTGACTCGTTTTACCGAGCAATTTACTTATCGCCTTTTTAACTGACAGAACTCTGAATTTGAAAATTTTGAAGCGACAGGTGTCGTAATTTAATTTTGTATCCAAGTATACAATCTAATATGACTCGATAACAAAGGCAATCCTGGTGGTTTACTGTCTAATAAACCGACGCCTGAATACTGGTGTTCAGTTGCGTACTTGGAGTTGGACACGCAAGTTGGCGAGACATTCAAAGTGCCATCAAGTAGACCCAATGTTACGGTTAAGTAATCTGAAGCCGTTGGAAAAAAATAATGAGAGTTGTCCAGCACAGCGTACTGTGGTTACTGACGCGAGTAGTCCGCGGCGGAGGTGATAACCGCCTAGATAGTGGCGGCGGCGGCCTCGTGTTGGGAGGTACAGGCTCGCGGCTCCGTGGCTGTCTCGGTGGCCTGCGACCTGGGACTGGAGGCTTCCAGTTTTTCATCACCAGAGGCTTCAGGTGTGTTGTAGGTTTTATATTTTGTTTGTTATAATAGCTTATATTCACGGCCTTAGCTGTCTTCAAGGCTTCAGGCAAAATTCACCGAACAAGAACTTATCTATCTTTATGTTGTACATGTGTTCCTTTATATCTTTTCTCAGAGAAAAGAGAGCAAAGTTTCCTCTCGTGACTAAATCTTTATGTTGAAAATCACAAAAAGTCGTTACTTATGGGGACACTCGCAGATGGCTCTTCATTATTCATATCCGGGAGAGTCACATACACCTGTTCAGGTAAGCTAGGCTCTGTCGGTGATGAAGGCCGAGATTCGCTCCCATATTGTGCAGGCATCATAGACTTCGCGGGATTTTGTCGTGTTCCGTCTGAAATATTGACGGCAGCTTTGAATATCTCCGTGCGGTGCCGGTGAGGAATCCCTTGATCACTCCGACGAAGATGATTCAATAATCCGGCTTCTTCGGGATTTCTTTAAAACTTTTTCGAATTTTCTCAATTTTTTACGGAAATAACTGAAATCATCACTCACACGCGTTCTCTTAGACATTTTAATAAAACTGTTATTGTGAAAAAAAATAGATTTAGTTACTACGTAAGTCAATAAAATCTGTTTTTGCAGGTTCCTTATCGTGAGTACGAATCACGAAGTATAATATTAGTAAGATGAGTGTTCGTTATAAATTTTTGATTGATAAAAATATGTAATAATTCTACGCCAATATTTTAAGACTGTAATTTGGACCTTATTTTGATGACCTAACAGTTCATTGACTTAGCTACTTCAAGGCTAATGTGCAGCCTTCATGGCTGAATGATTCAGCGCGAAAATTCTCTCAGACTCAGACAGAATAACTAAGAATTCTAGTTATAATCGTTTCCTTTAATTTCAACCTATAATTATTATTTTGATTCAATTATTCCATCAACAGTCTATAATGTCCCACGCGGACCCAGTGCGGATTGGTGGGTATTATAAACGTTGCGTCATCGAGCTCTTCGGCATCTTTGAAATAATAGGTTCGAATCTCGATCATGCCAGTTATTTGTAATTAAAATTATTTTATTAGACCTCGGCTGTTGAGACCACAAACCACTTAGCTGACTATAGACCAAAAAGATCTGAAGAATGCACTAATTGATGTTAACAAGGCTCTGAACCGTGAGCAGTGGAAACGGAGTAATTACGAGGGGACCAGACCCCTTACTCTTGAACGCAATCGTGGCCGATCGAAATTGCGATTGTGCAGTTTCGTGCTGTTGATTGGGTACACTAACGCCAGAGTATGCTAGTGAATCAATCAAAAGTAAGGAGCGGCGCAATTGCAATGTCGATCGGACCGATCGGTCGCAATTGCGTTCAAGAGTGAAGGGGCAGGTCTATAAAGAAGAAGACCTAGGCTGTTAAGAAGTATTTTTGCAAGTCTAAAGACCTTGTAATGAGAAGAATTAATTAAAAATTTAATACTGAAAATTAGAGTGAGAAAAGTAATCGAATATGTAATCATAGCTGATATGGTTTATTAAAATTCCTTCTTAAATTATTTATAACAGAGGAAATTTAAAAAAAAATGTTACTCAGTCTAGGATATTCGCGACCGGTGTGTGAATTTGTTTGTCTTATTTCAAAGTGTATTTTTTTTTTTTATAAATTCAGTTATTTGGTGACTTTCCTCTTAATTTATAAACATATTTTTTTCTCAAAATTTATAGGGTCCGCATGGTTGGTAGCGTTCGCATGTCAGGTACGGGTGATTTCTAGAGTCCACTTCCATTGAACTGTCATTAGTTTATCTATCAATGGCATGAGCCCGCAGAAGTGGTAACCGCATTCATAAAGCGGATCCCGTCGACGAATGTAAATGCGCTGATATGGTATTTCATGATCATCATTATCACCAGCCTATTAGGGTCTTCGCTGTTGGGGCTCAGGCCTTCCCTATGGATGGAAGCGAATAGGGAGAATGGGCTATGACCCCCACGAGGGCTCAGTGCGGATTGGGTGGGTGGGCGATTGTATTTAACTTGTCATTTATATTCCGTTTTCAATAGAAATAAAGAAATAAAAACTGAAATAGATAAATCAATCGCTAAATCGTCTGCTATATATAAAACCAATAATCGAAAACGAAATTCTTGAATTCATAATTTAATTATGTAAATTTAGTTCAAACAAAATTTCATAATAGCTTATTTTCAAATGAGTCATTTTACGTCAGCCTTATTTAAATAGTTTTACATATATAATAACTATCACCGTTGCAATCACGGCGACCATTTTAAAGCATACGAAGTTAAAACATTTTTTTTTTATTTTAAGTACTCAAACGGTGGTTGATTTCATTAAGACATTACTCAAACCTCGAACCAGTGGCGTAACTATCCCATTTGAGGCCCTTGGTAAATTCATTGGATATTATTTTTTTACTAATTGCGTAATAATAAATGTCAGGAGTAAGGAGTCTCCTCTGACCGGGGGCCCCTTCCAGCTAGGAGCCCGTGACGTTTTGCCACCCTATAGTTACGCCAATGCCTCGAACTAAGCTAAAGTCATTAATATAATTTAATAAGCAATAAAAAAGTTTCTCAACACTGAGACCTACAAAAAAATAGAAGAGTATGTTTTTTATTTTAATCCGAACGGGAATCGAACTCATACAATCAGAGATGGCGACACCTTGAAAACGGCTACGGGAAAAAATGCAATGAAAAATAATTCGTAACTTTAAAACATGAGACTAATTGTATTTTAATATGTATATACTTGAATATGTATTTATTTAGAATCATTAAAAAATTATAAAAACAACCTTACAACCTAGACAATACATATTGGATGCCTATAGTATAAATCTAATATATCATGTCATTGTAATTCGTAATCCATGAGAAATTGGCGTAAGCAAATAATTCAACTGTAGCACACTCATACGCAAATACACGTGGTCTGAACCCCATTAAAGCGAACAATCCATACTGACGCTTATCAAATCAAAATTAAGTTTTATAATCGTTCAACAGCTCGCGGCTATAAACGTCAAACAAAAGTTTTCTATTTAAAAAAAAGGAGACTCACCTTTTTTCGTAGACGATGTTACTTTATAGCGAAGTACATATAATGTTGTATTCTGAAGAAAACATTTATCATCTTTGTTATTAACGTAAAATATGTATCGACCACTTCACTGACTCATAGAAATGTGGAGGGTCAAAACGCACTGAAACAGTCACGGTCACTAGGGATGTCGGATCGATCGCTAAATAAATATATCGATGTATTTTTTTCTAAAAAGACACTGTTATGAATACACGTGTACAAATCACGACTGCTTACTGTTGAATGCGGCGGCTTGTGCGGTGAAGGTAACTACTTATCAGTTAGCGGCTTAACCGAGTATCAACATTAAGTAGTGCTGCATCCTGCACTAATATCGATTTTCGATGAATTCGCGTTATAAGAATTTTATTAGTAACGTGAGAATTACATCGGTTGCTTACATTGAACTCTGATTGATTCTTAATTAATGAATATAACATAAATTAATAGGCAACTTCATCGTCTATAAATTATGTCAATATTAAGGGAGAAAGAGGGGCGACGAAGTGAGACATTACTAAAATCCCTGTCGACACCTACAATACTGTTAGAATTATAGTTTTTTATGGGATTGCTACCATGTGCTTTGTTTTTATTGACTTTCCGATATTTTGGCGCCGTGCAAGCGCCCTGATCACGGAGTTACTGAAGTTTATGTGGGTGGGTGTCATTGGCAGATTATCGATCTACCTTCTTTCGAATTCTTTTACGTTCGGAACCCGTACTACTGTTCAATATGTCACCATTAACTCGTAACTGTTCTCAACGCCCATCATTCAGTGTATATGATCGAAAAACGACACTTTACAACGGGATCCGGGCTCGCTTGTGAATGATAGTCAAATGGTAATGCTGATTAGGCTCGACAAGTATATCGGCAAAAAGAAAAATCATCATCTGGGTTTTTCTTAGAAGATTCTTGGAAGAAGAAGATGTTGCACAGAGATTTATATCATAACACAGATTATTCCTTTAATAAAATAATGTTAATCGTGTTTTTGCCGGAAAATTAGTTTCGAACTGACATTCAGAATGAGTATGTCATATTTTTAATAATTTCAAATTGCGAAAAGCAATAAATAAAATAAGAAATAATCATAAAACAAATAGTTTGGAGGCGGGGGAACCCCGGACAAAATAAACAGTGTGGAACGATGCACCGTTACAACTTTTATCTTCTGGTTTTGGCAACAGCGCTGAAATATCAAAAACTCAATAAAAACAAGGTAACACATAATAGAAATCCAGTAGAAAACTGTAAATCTTATCTAAATGATCATGAAAGCTTAAAACAACATGAAATTCTGTTGGGCTATTTCCATAAATAAAGTAACCGAAAAAATATTTTAATTAGGGTTCACTTAAAACGTTTTTTCCGATGTTAGTAATCGTTAAAATATAATTAAATAATGTACAATAATATGTCTTAGTTGTCTATCGAAGTTTAATAACACATTTCGATAGGAGTAGAACTAATTTTTTACTAGTTTGTGCAACAGAATTGCTACTTTGTAAACGATGGGAATTTTGTACTTAAAATCTAAAAAAATCCATGAATAATTTATTGGACACGCAAATTACAGAAAATCATATTACACAGACAGGTATTCCAGAATGGTGTCTTCAAAAGGCTCCAGCTCGACATAAACCATAGATGACTGCGTCTTCGATTTTCAGTTGACGTGTAGGGTGGTTTACTTTTCGGAGTATATTTATATGTATATAATAGCATAAAAATAAATATGATAAATATAATAGAAATTTGAATTAAACTTCAAATACGATTATTTTTCAAATGTTGTTTTCTGGATTTAAAATAAATTTATTAATTGAAATCAAATTATTTTCAGAAATGCTGCTTTGATTGATTAATTTCTTCGATTAAAATTGCAAAATACCATGTTTACCTGAACGCGATGAATTAAAAAATTTATATGCTTTATAAGTAGAAGAAGAAATTCAAATTATTGTTTCTCTAATTTATGATTACTATACTATGATGCTAGAATAAAACAATTTACCACATTTTGGCGTGGGTTTTCAAGTAAAACAAAATTACTTTCTTTAAGCCTTTGTATTTTCATCTCGCACACCGAAACAATTCACGAACGGAAGTTACAAATAAAAAACCGTTACAAGAGGAAATAGCCGTTTTTTTAAAAAATTCGCGTTGTCTCTCAGGCAGCCTAATTGGTCGGCTTTCGCGATGGGAATCGGCACGCATTTCAAATGGGCCAATAGGAGGCCGCGACATATGCTCCAGTGTTGCCACAACAGGAGTTCGCGCTACAACATGTATTCGCTTCCACATGCAAAATATGCACTCTTCAGCACATTCGAAAGACGCTTAGCTTATAAATTGTTGATGACGACCTTTCACGACTGCCCCAAAAGGGAAGTGTGTTGTGTTTATGTATGTAAGTGTGTTTCTTTATCCACCATAACTTTTGAAAAACTAGACGGTTGAAATGTTCAAACCCTACATCGTCCCGAGTTACGCTAACTAATTTATATTTTTTTTTACAGTTTGTATAACTTTACGTAGTATTTTTTATTATATTAACCCCGCACTTTATATTCATCCTATTTTATGGTATTTATTCCTAGATAATGACTAAAAGAGCAGTGGCCTCCTTTGATGAGTATTTTCCAAAAATATATAATTTATATACATTTACTGGTTGACCAGGAAAAGTAGTTAGTGAAAGGAATAAAATAAAAATATATTTTTTTAAATTACATAGCTTTAGAATAATATATTTTTTAAATACGAATTTAAAATAAGTTAAAAGAGTTGATTTATTGCACACACTATTTTAATTATTATATTTTATAGATTATGGAGATGTGCTAAAGCTGGTAACAACGTTGGTGGGGAAAAACGGTGTTGTCAACAACACTTTTTGTAGTCCGATTATATAGCTGTAGCTGTGCGGCTACCATAATATCGACGCTGGAAAGGAAACGCGTATTATTCCGAAAAACCAAATATGTTCTTTCTGGTGGAATTAATTTTTTATCTTATGAACAAACATGTTAACTGTTTACTACCAACTGCGCTTTATTATGTAAATAGATTTTATGCTAGGTTCATACTCTTCGATTTTATATATAACTTTTTGGAATACCATATATTTGTATCTAATTAAAATTAATTGTAAAAATATAATGATAAATGACAGTGTGTCCAAAAAATGTGATCGTATATCATTTACATGACAAATATGGTAACTCTAATTCAAATAATAAGGATGTCAGATTATTTTCCGAGAAAATAAAAGGATTTTTTGCTCTGATGAGCGAATTTGTTTGCTTTCCAGGGTCGATATGGAATGGATATCGAATACAAGCCTTACGAATTAGAAGAGCGACACAAATGCATGTAATGTGAATGCATCGCATTGATAATAAATAAAGCGTAGGTTATTGAAATAAATATTAGTAAAAAAAAATTGCCTTTTACACTGTACTCGTGTTGTCCTTCGTAAGGGCTACTCATAGAACGAATAATCAAATTTTATTATCTCTAGCTGCTCTGTGCGATTTCGTTGATAACGTTTTTTTAAACCTAGCGAATGAATTATATCGGTAATTTGAAATTAATTTAAATTGTCTAAAGCAAGAGTTAATCGCAAATATCTTTGAAAACTATTGAGAAATATCAAACGAAAGAGTTTAACGCTAACTGCAATCTTTCAATGGGCTTAGTTAAGCTTTTATTATTTTCCTTGATCATTAAAATCATTATTAATCTTAAGTGATGGCAACTTTAAAGGTTATATAATTCCGTAAACCGCTATAACAATTGCTATACCTTTAAAAAATCATGATAGATTTCAAAATTACAGTCAACCCACTGCTGATGTCGTTTCTTTTTGTTTTTATCTGCAGCCTTAAATAGCGACACTAATACGAATACAGGAATGAAGGCCTTCATAATCTTTTTATCTACGCCGTTATGTTATTTTACGTTGACCAGATATGATTTCTGTGCAATATGGTCGTCATTGTTACTAGTGATGTATAAAGAATACGAATACGATTAACGAATACTAATATTAAATCCTACTCGCGTGAATTCGAATAATTCAACAAGATAATAAATACATAAATTCATGTGGGGCATGAGTGCACAAGTTTAGTTTAAGTATTTGAAAAAATAGAAAATAACAAACGAAATTAATGAAATGGGAGTGAGATTCATAAATTTTAAAAATTATTAAAGACACTCGCACGTCGCGTGTTGCATTCAAAGAGGTACTGAGAGGTGATTATAGCGCTTCCGTGATTAAAAAAAAAGACAACGTACTCTCTTCTGGACAAAAAGCACGATTTTTTTAAATAATTATAATATAAATCACTAATAATAAGGAATGTCATGATTATATAAATGTTTAAATTGTAAATCATTTAACTCTAGGCCAATATCGAATGTGCTACGGGTATTCTGTAAAATGGATCAACTATAGGTAAAGTAGTGCATTCGGATACATTATGCACAGCTTCGGATACATGTTACACAGTTATACTGTAATATGTGATAATTTTAAATGTGTGATGGTATTTGACGAATATGAATATCCGTATTCGAATCGTTGCATCACTAATTATTACCCGTGACCTTACGTACTAGGAAGAAAATTGCGGTAGCCACATCATAAGCTAATGTAGGATACATTAGTAATAATGATTATATCATCTTCATGATTGAACGTTACCGGTACTTTAAACAATTTATTGTGTTAAGATAGAAATCATTAATGGTTATCTAATAGCCTTCGAAAACCAATTAAAAAAAAAACGATATAGAATTCTGAAAATCCCATATAAATTCATTAAACTTCATTTGAATTTGGACTATGATTTGATGGCTATTTATCGAGACTACCTCGAGAATATACACATTAGTGGCAACGTCGTCTTTGAGGTAATTTAGATCATGTAATTCTTCCAGTGCTTTATATAAGCACAAAATTATGGATTTAACTCTTAGTATGCCTGGTTTTAACACCAGTTACAAAATATGCCTGGTGGGTCCCTCAGACCCAAGTTTTCAATTGGATATTTTTTTGTACTTTCTCCGTATATTTTTATTTGTAAAGCGTCCTTATACTGCCCAAGGGAATAAAGAATATTATACACATATAATAATACATATAATAATCGAATTATCTTTAGCATTTAAATATTTTGCATTAAACTAACTTCTTTTGTAATGACTGATTGATGGCCATTTTTTTATTAATAATCTGATCTTTGATAATTGTTATTTCTATAAAATTATAAGA